CGGGTGGATGCATGTCACACTAACTGAAAACAAACAAATGAAAAACATAACATTGTGAAATACAAAATTTGAATGTTATTGTAGCTCTGTAACCTTCAAATGTTCCGAAAATGATAAAACCGAATTTCCGATCATGTGATCAGATCAGCCCCGGTCCCGTTTATTTATATATTTATTTACTAACTCGGATATCTCTACTTTTACTCTTTTTTTGGAGCTCAAATTCAAATTGAGAGAGTATTTGCAGAAAACTATCTTGACTTTAATCAGTTTGAAGATTAAATATCTGGTCTTTGTCGCGTATTCAGTTGAATATAGATTGAAAAAGATTTGCAAATCAGTGCATTCTGTTTTTATTTAGGTTGTACACAATGTTCCGACTTCATCGGAATTGGGGGTTGGAAATTTTTGATGATCAAAAGAAGAAATGGACATCTAAACAAAACAAGGCAGCCAATATTGAATTTACATGGCTCTGCTTGCAGAAGGTCTCAGACCAGTGGATTTGGTCTGCACCAGAGTTCTTCTGCTTTTTGTACCTATCCAAGTGAATCAGACTCAGGGATGAATGCAACCTGATTTTGACTAAAACAAGTTGAAGGGTGCGTGTTGTGAAATCACCATTCGTCAGAAATGATGTCAGATGTATGTTCAGTGAAAAGATGCTTTTCATTGACAGCGATGAAAAGAATCTGCTGCTTCAGTAGCTTTCGCTCTTTTTTTTTCTCCAATATTTGAATATCTCGCTTCAACAATGTGTAAATCAGCATGTGATATTGTACCACTACCTCTCTGCCCTTTTGTATTCAGCATTCATCCATCCATTTTATATTCCGCATATCTATGCAACTAACTATGTCGGCTTCTGGCTGAGTATTGCAACTGACTTTGGCGCGAGAGCCGGATTACACTGTGGACTGGTCGCTAGCCAGTCACAAGGCGCAGATAGAGCAAGTGATGCACTCCACCTACACAAACAGTAAAGATAGCCTCTGCCTGTAGAAAGGACGCATGCTTGCTTTGGTCTTCTTGCTCCAGACCAGAGGTGGAATGTGTTTTCACGCTTCACAAAACATAAGTCTTAACTCTTATACTGACCTCTTCCACTCTGTACAAGTGTTCTTTTTCCTGGATCTCTTCTCCTGCTCGTCTTCTCCTTTTTCTTCCCAGTCTTTCACCTCATCCTTTCTGTCTATCCATTTCTCTCCGCCTTACAACTATTGCTCTGTCTCATGTCGGTTTTTCTCCCTTTTCATCTTGTCTCAATTCGCTTGACCATTGCTGTTGCTCGCGGGAACTTTTAATTGACTTCTTGTGACACTTGCAGTTCTTTTTGTACGCTTTCTTTTCTCCTCGTTCGATTATCCATCACCTGTGCTGAACCATGAACTACTTTCAGATCTCTATTTATGAAACTTAAAAAAAAAAAGAGCCATCAACTTTTTTGCCATGACATGTTACCTGTATCATTTTAAATCATATACAAGTAGGCCTGCAATTGTGTATTTGCCGAATGTATGTATTTGCAAAATAATTATCATCTTAGTTTAACCCTTTCATGCACCCTGTAACCTGATAAAATGATAAGCTGTCCACTGGAGTAACCACTGTCCCTGAAAGGGTTCATTTCTATTGTCAAAATGTATTCATATGATGAGATTAATTGGGTCAATACTTGATTGCTCTTCAGCATTCACGCATGTCATTCTGCAACACAGAATAAATATTTTGCCGATAATTATTATTCCATCAATTTTCAGCCTCATTATTGATGGTGGATACGGGAGTTAATGCATCCACCGCGGCGTATAGCTTTGTTTGACTAAACTTGAAACACATGAGAGGGGAAAAAAAAAGCTTTAGTCTGGCACTGCAGTCTTGTTTTGCTTGCTGATATTTTTTTTTTTTTTTTGCTTAACTCCGATGATCCTAACAACTGTACGTAGGCCTTGCCTAACATGGAGTGCTGTTTGCATGCAAAAATACACACAAATACAACAAAAAGAGAGCAGCATGTGCTCTTACAAGACAAGCCATTATGCCTGCTAGTGTTGTGGGGATTGTCATCATCTGAAATATTGATGGCCTCTGATACCGCAAAGATTTACTGTCAAACTTAAATAACAATACTTTTGTTACATCAGTCATTTGAAGTACATACTGTATTTGCAGTACAATACCAGACAGGCAAGTGGTCATATTGATTAGCAGACAGACACATGGAGCAGAGGGTGGGGAAAAAGAAAGTTAATACATTGTTTAGTTTTGACAGCAACCAAAATCTATGAATGGTGGCCAAAATTCATTTGTGGCAGCTCACCACAAATAAATAAATATGTGGGAATCACTGCAGCTGCAATGTCATGAATCCGATCAATGATGTCATTGATTGGTAAATCGGCGAAATAAAACACAGCCAATCACAAAATGTGCATAAAATGCAAAATATTGGCTGATCCGATCTAGCCGATCAGATTCCTATCCATCATGTTCCCGCAATAAAAGGCCCCCCAAAAAGAGCTATTCAACATATTTACTTTCTTCTTTCACATTTCTTGACTGGCTCAAACCATTCCACCTTCCCGTCTCATATTCTTACATTTCAACAGTTTAATTAATTGCAAAACACTTCAGTTCGGCATCAGCTCTTCAGCATCCATGCGCATATTCAAGAGAAACGACATTCTCTTGTTAATTTAATATTCTCTATGTCTTGTCTCCCTCTGTGACTCATATTCTGTAACACACATTCAGATTTGGTACATTGCGATAAAATGTGTAGCAATTCACATAAAAACACTGAACAAGCTCTTTCAGAGAAAAGTGCTGTTCAGAAGATTGCATCGTTGCACTGCTTTACATGTTCCAACGCAGTCAAATGAGGCTGGCTTAATGCCTATGTCTGTGTCTTTTATGACAATCTCCTATTGTGCTGCTTCTCCATTCTCGACGGATGCTCCAGGTGTTTCAGGTTTGATGGGTGCCCTCTCTTGATTGCAAGTTTCAGCTACTTCCACAGATGTTAATCTTGGCTCTTCAGAAGTGTGATGTTTTTTTTTTTTTGTTTTGTTTTTTTGTACGTTGCCATAGTTGGGTCTTTTAGCTGTGTGTTTCGGGTCATTATCTTGTGTAGAGCATTTATTACCTGTTGCCGAGATCTTCCCGACACTTGGCAAAATATTGTTTTGATAGTCTCGAGATTGTCATTGCCCAAATTCAGGGAGGATAAGGTCAAGGTCACCCACAACACATAACAGGATAAGCGGTTTAGAAAATCAATGAATGGATGGATACAGTTGATTTTAAAATCAGCATTATTTGTAAAGTCGCTGAGGTTTTATAAATTGTAAATTTGTTTTAATTTGTTATTCAAGTTCTGAGCTAGGGCGGCTAGGGTGTTCAGAGCATCGACCTCACAGTGCAGAGGTCGTGGGTTCGATCCCGGCTCTGGCCTTCCTGTGTGAAGTCTGCATGTTCTCCCCGTGCCTGCGTGGGTTTTCTCCGGCTACTCTGGCTTCCTCCCACATTCCAAAGACATGCATGGCAGGTTAATGGAACACTCTAAATCGTCCCAAGGTGTGAGTGTGAGCGCGGATGGTTGTTCGTCTCTGTGTGCCATGCGATTGGCTGGCAGCCGGTTCAGGGTGTCCCCCGCCTACTGCCCGAAGACAGCTGGGATGAGCTCCAGCATCCCCCGCGGTGACCCTTGTGAGGATAAAGGGAATTGGAAAATGGATGGATGGATGAATGAATGAGTTCTGAGCTAAGTCCTATATGGGAGGTTGTCCGTTAGGCAGGCATCAGTCATACAAAGGCAACTGAACTGAGACGCTCCCACGTCTCAGCTGACATCCAAATGTGGGTGAGAAGGCTTGTAAATATCCAGAAACCCTCTGAGGTAACATGTACTTTTACTTGAGCTCATTCACCCACTGACACATTTCTTAAGCAACTGTGCCACACAAGACAAGTACTTCTTTGAACCTGTGATTGTAAGATTCTGCCATAAGAGTGAGTGCACTTCTTTAATTAGCAGTTTTTCATGGCATTCTTGAAGAAAGCCACAGGACAGCACTCAATCACCCCCACAACTGCTAGCTTGATGGCTGAAAATAATGGTTGGCATTGACATTTTGGGTCTCTCCCCATTAATAACGGCAATTAAATATAGTGTTTTCTGGGGCCTTCTGTCATTCATGGGCCCTTACAATTAACTAGTTTAAATTAGAACGTTCAAAAAAGACATTTTAATCACAATTCACATTTGAAAGTGAGAAACGTTTATGATGTCTCCTTACAGCAGCATTAAGAACAAATTCACAAGCTTTTTTTTATTTTTAAATAACCTTATCCCGAATCCCGCATCGCATTGTGGTCAAAGGTAGAATCTTGGTCTGTTTTGCGGCTTTTGGTGCTGTAAATAATAAATCCTTATTGTGGCAGACGGCACATGCGAACAGCTGCAGCAGAGTTACATCACACAATGGTTGCCCTGACTACAGTTGTTCTTCAGCTTCCATTTCTTCTTCTACTTTCGTTTGGCTGTGTACTGCGTACTCTTGGTGAATTACCACCACATTTAACATGCTATAAACAATTTGGCCACGGAGAGTACGACATGACTACTTTGGCAAATGGTGGCGGGAATGTCAATGAAGGTCAACATGATTACCGAAAGGGGATATTGCCAGTCTCAAGTTTTAATTTTAATATTCAGTATACAAGTCACACCTTGTAAGTTTGCCTGGGCCTTACTATAGTCCAAAAAAAAAAATGGGAATTTATAAAATTCAAATGCTAAAACAATTCCACATGTGTCTTGTGTATAGCTCAGTGGTTCTCAATTATTTTCTGTCATGCCCCCCCAAGGAAGAGGAAAACATCTCGCCGCCCCCCTCCCCCCGCACGACTATAAACAGTATCGTTTGCCTATAAAATTGTTATAAGTACACCTTTGCATAACACTGTATCCTTATAACAGTGATGGCAATGGCAAGTGATTAAGTTCTTTGGGTTTCTTGCGTAAGTGGAGGCCACTGCTTTTCTGTGTGATTTCCTCAAAGACCTCTTCTCTGCTTCCACTAACATCCTTTTTCAGCCTTCTGGAATGAATCAGCCCTGAAACACTTTCTTGTCTGTCCAGGGATGCTGCTAAGTCAGCTGGAAAGAGCTGGACAGAAACCTAATTAAACGTCTTCGTAAAAAATCCAGTCAAGTGGTCCGTGTCCGTAATAGTTTTTAGTTGCTCTTATTCCCACATACCTTTTCGTGTTGTTCCAGGTCAGTGATATTTAGATTTTCTGTGGTAGACACCGAGTTCAATCGGTCGTCCTTGTTTTTGCCTTTTTCCTCCTTGTCATCACCTGTTGAGTTACTTTGTTCCACCAAAGGGTATTTGTGGTCCCACAAGCCATAACGCTGTTTTCACATACAATACATAAAGATCCTGTGAGAGCAACGCTTGACATATAGTGGAACCCCCAAAGTCAAAGTCTTCCGAAATTCCATAATTTGGAGGGCATGGGGGAAATATATCAAAAAGTGGACAAAATACAAAACACAAATCCTTGGGTCTTGATCTGTCATCATGAAAAATGTTTCATGAGACAAGAAGCCAATCGACAGCTTTTGTTTTCAAAAGTTCCAAAGGGGATTGACTAACATTGTGACATATCGCTCAAGTTTATTTGCAGTAACTTAACACTTTCAGGGACAGTGGTTACTACAGTGGACAGCTTATCATGTGATCAGGTTACAGAGGGCATGAAAGGGTTAAGACAGTGGTTCTCAATTATTTCTGTCATGCCCCCCCAAGGAAGAGGAAAACATCTCGCGCTCCCCCCCGCACGACTATAAATAGTATAATTTGTCTTTAAAATTGTTATAAGTACACCTTTGCATAACACTGTATCCTTATTAACGTATAAGAGAATAAAAACATAAAGAAATATGGACCAACTTTATGGACCAATTTACAACAAAGAATAGCTTTAGTAACTGGAACAGAAAAGATTTAAAGTGCATCTGAAATTCAAAAATAACATTAAATCCTTAATTTAACAATAAAAATTTTTTGACTGACCATGTCAAACCATACTATACTGAAAAATAAAATTACATAAAATCAACAACGAATAATGCATTCAAACTAATCACCAACATTATCTCAGGAACACAATATTAAAAAAACTTTAACCAGCAAAACAAAAACATAAAAGAATTTGTGCTTTTTCTTTTTTTTTTAAATCAAAGAGGATTTCTTGATTAATTGCTACAATGAGCATGTTTTGCAATGCACAGCTTTTCGAAGCGAGGTTTGAAGCAGGACACAGCAACTCTCGGCTCCTGCTCAATGTGTAGCCGGGACCTGTACAGTATTTTAGTTTACTGAAGTAGCAGTCACAAAGCGGCATGATTGTTGGCAATATTCGGCACGTTTTCGCTGAAAACAAACTCAAGCAGCTTATCAGCATGATTGGAGTGTAATGTCTTTAAGTGACGCCTTAATTTATTTGGCTTCATGCTGTCCGCTACCTACATTTTTAGACACAGTTAGCACATCGATCTTTCCTCGTCTGCCACCGCAGTCACATTGAATCCTAGCGCTACGTACGCCCCGTCATATTTCCTCCCTGAGAATGTTCCCTGCGCAAACTCTGCCAATGAGAGCGCCACTGCCCCCTAACGTAGTGGAGGTGCAACTGCACGTTATTTTAGGACTAAAAAAATAAAAAAGCATGTTCCCCAAGGTCAAACGTGCCCCCCTTGACGGAGCCTCGCGCCCCCACAGGGGGGCGCGCCCCACTATTTTGAGAAACACCGGTATAGCTCAACACTTGAAATGTGGCACCAGAGATTGCAGCTTCAGATGGTTGCTTCATCCACTGCAATTGACCAATCGTCACAGAACAGTGATTGATTGCATTCTACAATGTTGAGTTTAGAATCCTGTCTTGCATCACCCATCAAGATGTGTGTTTTTGTGTGCATGCGTTGTGGCCTTGGGTATTTCCTTCCACATGCCCACTATTTTTCTGAGCTTTTTTTTTCAATGAGTATAAATAACAACAGCGGTGAAAAATGGAGACATGATGCGCTGTATAGAAATCATGTACCAGCTTTGCCATTCATCTTCTCAAACCACCTTGGGAAGACAAATAGATTGGTTGAGAAAAGCTGAAACCAGGTCATATTTCAGCTATTTACATGGCGGGGAAAAAGAGCAAAGGTAGTATTTGGGGTAATTTTCTCAAGCCAAGTCTAGCCAAAATTGCACCTCATGCGCGTCTCAAATTATATTTAAAATGATCAAAATTTCCACTTCTATTGCAGACTCAGTGGTCTTGTCAGAGTTGGAATACTCACACGTTGTTGACAATCACCAGTAAAAGCACACATTTTCGGAAACACACAAGTAATGAAATTTAAATAAAACATTTCATTTGTTTTTCCTGATGTTTTATACCCCTTGCCTTAGGCATGATTTTGAGTAAGCGGTAAGAAATGAGGGTAAGATTTTGGAACCACAGCATATTTTTCACAAAAGGAACACACAAATATTAGCCGTCATTTCGGTCGACTGGCGCCCATGTGCTCTGCGTAAAAACAGACATAATTTTGTTTTCATGTCGGCGCAAGTCTAATCTACTGTGTTGGCGGCTATGTGGCGCCTCTGGGTGTTCTGGTGCATGGAATAGTCTCGCCCTTGACTCATCTGACACTTTGGTAACAAAAAGTAGTCTGAGCTTGACGTAAAAAATGGGTGCATGTTCTTTTTCATGCCAAGGCGATGGTCCAGTACTGCGTATTTGTGAATTTGGTAGGCGCGCTATGCCTCACTGGGAATTCCCCCAAGGGCAATTCTGCAAATTTGGTTACAAATAGACTGGAGTGTGCACTGCCTTAATCCACATCGAATTCTGTGCACAAGTGGTGTAATGACATTTTCTTATATTTGATGGAGGCGCAGGTTGACTGTTTTTTGTGGTGGATGTTATGAGTGGTGTCAAATCCAGGTCCAGAAAGTAAAAACCCTGCCACATGTTCCTGCGGCAGGGTTTTTACTTTCTGGAACTGGAATTGACACCTCTGGATGTCATCGGATTTCAGTCATTATAGTAAAACAAGAGTGGGGCAGTCCTTTTGAATTATTTCAGTAATCAATTCTTTGAATGAATTGTCATCATCATCTTAAAACAATTTTAAAAGTGCTATCCTGACTGCATATCAGAACTCGGGCGTTGAGGGGGAAAAACAGGTGCGCGATCGGGAGTGCAAGGCGGTCTGCAATTTTCACTGAATGTGGCTGACTACATCATTGGCAAGGGAGAGCATTCAGTTTATACTGTACAATTACACTTTGTGTGAACCAATCTCATCTCCGGGACCGCACCAAGTCAATTTCTGCTTCAGCAATGTCAAGCACTGATGTGCTCCCACCGCCCTGAATTTAATGGCAATGATAGGCTGGGAGTTGGCTCGTTCCATCCCACAATGGCACACAAAGGCACAAATGTCCCCTTCTGACGAATTCTACCTGTACAAAGTCAAGGGAAATACCAAAAGAAGGAAAACTTCACCGGAGTCCGCAGGGGGGGAGATGCGAAACTCCACACAGGAATGCCAGGGCCTGGATTTGAACTCTGTACCTCTGGACTGCGAAGAGGACCTACTAACCAATTTCAAGTGTTATTGTATTCTAATTTGTATTGCAATCCTGTTTTAATGTGGTACAAATACTGAATTACTACAGGTACAGTAACATATTTAAATTTGCAATTCCTCTGTACGAGTGCTTAAAATTAAATCAATAAAAAATATTTTATTTCTTCCTGGTGACTCATTATTTTTCACGTTGATTTGGAATGCCTGTCCCTATGTTTTTTATGTCAATAAAATGATGATTTATGACGAAATTTGACCACACATTAAAAGTCAGGCATACCCCTCTAGTCTCACTTTGTTTTCTAATGTTTACAGAGCAACCATCCAATCACCACAGCTCTACTCTGCCTCCCGTGGCACCCCCACATCGTCAACAGCCTTCAGTAACAGCTCTCAACCAGTCACGGGGCTCCGCACATCACCCTGGTCAATTGCTGAATTCTACACGCCAACTAACTCCTCCCACTGGAAGCCCGGCCCCTGTGGCCGGCCAGTCACCTGCCGAGCTGCAGACCACACCCCCAGAGAGCGTCCCGCTGCAAGACAGCTGGGTGCTGGGTAGCAATGTGCCTCTGGAAACAAGGTAAATTCAATTTGGTTGCAACACAGATGCGGTTCAAGCTGTGCGATGTAAACAAAGTTGTAATTAATTTTAAAATACAATAATAGCAATAGAATGGCGGTTTTCTGTTCATTCATTTAGCCTATCCCAGCTGTAAAACACAGATTTTATTGAGAGAACAAGGGATCGGAATTAAATTGGCCCAGAGGCTAAATTTTTAAAACCTGGAGTATTGACAAGCCCCAGCCTTAATGGTCCTGGAGAAATTACTCCAATATATTTTCAATTTATTTAGTCCATCGGAATGTTATTTTTTACCTTCTACCTTTCTAATCTTGTTTCTCACTCGCAATAAAATTAAAATGCTCATCCCATTTGGAGTCGAGCCATCTCACCCCACCGCAGCGTCATGCACGAGAGGCACCAGTGACTCTATCTGTCCCGGGGCAGTTCTGTCCGATCATGATATGACATGTAGTGCTATATAAAAAAGTCCATTGTGCCTTATAACCCTAGAATTTTTATATTGTTATTTTGATATGTGGGTTTGCCATCCGAGCCCAACCTGCTCGGACTTTACTGGCTTGGGAGCACAGACTGCCGAGTCAGCCACTTTGAAGGCTCAGAGGAGTAAGGTTTTACAAATGTACACCCACGCAGTATAAGCTGGCGGACTTTAGGTTGGGTTCACTCTGTTGCTACACTCCGTAGAATCCGAAAGGTTCACTCTCTTGGCAGGACTAAACTGCAACCGTTAGACAAATGTAGAAGTTGGGTTAATCTTGGTTTGAGTGGTCATTCCTAGAGTAGGAAGGAGGGATGCCGTCATCTTTTCTTTTTCAGTGGAAGTTAGAACTAAGGTCATGCATGAATGTCTCTCATTTAGCACATGATTGCAGCGTTGGTGCTACTCCTATCCTGGTGGAGAGCCTGAAAGGGTCAAAAGTTTAGTTTCATTTCTCAAAAGGTTGATGACAATGCACGTTGCCACCAGTGCAATCAGTCATTAAAAAGTCAAGGGAAACACAATAAAATCTTACAAACAACAAACGAAACGCGCATCACACCTTACAGAAGTGATTTTTGCAGCTTAACAGCATGGAACTTGTTCCTCTACATTAGTTTATTTTACAGTTGTCATTTTTTGCGAGGTGGTAGTTGGAGGACCCCAAAGAGCAGGGAGACAAGGAGGAGCAGGGTGGATTGACCAAAATGTATTTAACAAAAACACAAACCGGCACACATAGGAGAAACAAACTCCAAAAACTCACTCAAATAAAGTCCAGCAAAATCAAAGTAGCAAAAAACCCAAGACAGAAAACAAAACATGACATGTGCACACAGCAACAAACAAACAGCAACAATGACCCGACACTGAGTGATTGAGCCGTGATTGCCTTTTTTATAGACAACTAATGACACAATGACCAACAGGTGTGCAGCTGCAGTCAGAGCCCTACAGTGCCACCTGTTGGTCACAAACAGAACCATGACAACAGTAAGTCATGTCATGTGTAATAGTATTTTTTTTCAAACAATTTCTTATTCT